TAGTAAAAGTTGGGGAAATCAGCACGTTACTACGCTGTAGAGTACCTGACAAAGGCAGGCCTGGTGAACACTAGTGGGGAAGGATGTTTATGATGAGACTTCACTAATCTCACTTTCCCCTGCTTCTTAAATATGCAATTAAAGGACTGGAAGTCAAAAGCACACAGAGGGGTTTCCTGGAGTAGCTGTGTAAGCCTGATGTTAATACTCTGGCTGTTGCTGTTATTCTTTAATAAAAGTAAGCAAATTTACAGGCATGGAGGGAGCATATGTATCTGCACTTCAAGCAGACGCTTATTACTAATTTGGGAATATGTTAGTGTTGATTACCTAATGAATCATCGGTATTCTGTTGTAATAGGTAGGTGCCGCAGAAAGGCCGCAGAAAAATTATGGACTCAGTCAGAGATCAATATGATCAGACCAAAGCCGTTTATTATAGCGTGTCAATCCTGTTTCTCTGCCTTGGCTTACAATAGCTTGCCGTATTATAATCGGATACATTTTCTTGTAATACACTGCAACTACGGTTACATTTACAATAGCTCACTGTATAATATTTGGATACATCATCAATAGCTCGCAGTAGTATAATTAGATACATGTCCAATAGCTTGTTGTATGATGATTGAATACATATACAATAGCTCAGTATACTATGCTTTGATACATATTCCTGCAGCACACAGCAACTAGTAACAATAAGCGTATGAGAACTTAACCTTTAATATTTGCTAACAGTCCACTATTTTGTATCTTAGCACAGTCCAGTTTCTTCTTATCTTGCTTGCACTGCTACTTTTGCTACTGCTACTTTTGCTTCTTTACCCACATCTTCCTTCATCCTTGGTTCATGTCAAGCTCCACGTAGGCACTTGCTGACTTGAGAATGTGGCCATTCTTTGCTAAAAATCCATCCACAGGTAGGAATTCATTAGCAAGATGTTTTTACTGAATACTTCTCATTGCTTTCTAAAAGGAGCTCAACTTATGTAGCAGTTCCTGATGTAGAGAACAAAAAAATCATAGAATAGTTAGGGTTGGAATGGACCTTAAGATCATCTAGTTCCAATCCTCCTGCATTGGACAGGGACACCTTCCACTAAACCATGTCACCCAAGGCTTTGTTCAGCCTGGCCTTGGGCACCACCAGGGATGGAGCATTCACAACTTCCCTGGGCAACCCATTCCAGTGCCTCACCACCCTAACAGTAAAGAACTTCCTCCTTATATCCAGTCTAAACTTCCCCTGTTTAGGTTTTAACCCCTTACCCCTTGTCCTGTCACTACAGTCCCTAGTGAAGAGTCCTTCCCCAGCATACCTATAGCCCCCCTTAGGATACTGGAAGGCTGCTATGAGGTCTCCATGCAGCCTTCTCTTCTCCAAGCTGAACAGAACAATATTTTCTTAAATTTTATTTTAAAACAGAACTGCATTATTATGATGTTCAGTATTAGCCTTATGATGTATTATGGTTTTTGTTCCATATAAATTATGCTTATAAGTTATAAGGTAATATCCTCCATAAAATCTAGCCTTTGACTCTTGGTCTGCAGGCGTTAAGGTGATTCTGGTTTTCAGTTGGTGTTTCTCACTAGCAGTTTGTTCTTGGGAACAGACACAATAGAAAATTCTGTTTGTACATAGGCCATTCTGGTTCACTGTGTTTTACTACAGACCAGCATTTTACATAGAAGTTTGCATGTTATGCCACACTATTTTTATGTGCATTTTTGGTAACACTTATGAGTCCTAGCTCAAACTGTTCAGCAGTTCCCTTATGTATGTGTAAATAACAGAAAATACTCATTTTACATTTTATTCTTGAATATTTTGTGAATTTTTTAAATTTCGCAGATACCCTATTTCCCATTTGTACCTCCTCACCAGTTCTTCAGTTCTTCCTTTTGCTCTGGGAAGACTTTTACTCTATTTTTTCCTTTGAAAGATTTTATATATTTTCCTATACTAGCAGATAAATAAGTTTATTAATAGTAATATTTTTCTTTTCGTTAAGCAGCCTGACAGTAAACATCTAGAGGAAAGCTCATAATCTTCATTGCACTCACTGTGATCACTAAGAAAAAGTCCTACTTCAAACCCCTCATTATCACAGCCTAGAGATGACCAGCACTGGTTACAGTGTTTGCATTCTGAGGAGCAAGAGTCCTTCTGTAGAAATTCAGTCTGCCTTAGACAAAATGAATTGTCTTTTGAGAGCTTTTAACTGCTAGACAGAGCTCCTGTTTCCTGTCTGACTAAGCAGGACAGCACTCGGTTATCTTGTGCAGCATTTTTTCACACCGAGTGTTTTGAAACTTGTATGCTTGTTTTCTATTAAAACTTGATCCTATTTCCTTCCTCTGTAACTTCTTTCTATAGTAAATGCTTTTGTCTTCATCTCATTTCCTCTTCCTAATTTTGAGTATTTATGGCAGGATCATTTTTGCCACATGGTGATTAAGATTGCGAGGACGATGTATGCTGTGTAGATGTGGCACTTAGGGACATGGTTCCGTGGAGGGCTTGGCAGTGCTGGGGTAATGGTTGGACTCTGTGATCTTCAGGGTCTTTTCCAACCTGAATGAGTGGGGTTTTGATCGTGATTTTTGATTATGATTCTGTGCAGTTTAATACCTTGTTAAAATAAGTCTGGTTGATCTGCAGAAACTGATACTGCCTTTGTTTATCTTGGGAGAATTGCTGTCCACAAGCAGTACCTTTAATAAGTCTTTGCTGCAGTAAAATCTCATGATACTTTAAAAATGGCTGCAGGAGGGCAAACAGCTAAACAATCTACAAGGCTGATAAAATAGGTGGTAACTACCAGCACCTGCTGTGAATATTTTTGTCTAACTTTCTGTTGTCTATTCTAGTATTTATTTTTTTATATATATACTCACTGCTGTGTTTGGGCTGATTTTATATATTTAAAGTTATTTTCCTGTGTTTTTAAAGATTCAAAGTAAAAGCATAAAAGTTTTCAAGAGAGCAGTTACTTCTGTATCCTCCTTGATGCATGGTTTTCTTCCTGAGCATAGTGGAGTGCTTTAAGTATTGATCTGCTCAAACTGCCTTCGTATGTTGTTATGCTAAAATCTCTGAAGCAGTTTGGCTAGTCTCTGTGTCAAAACTTCTTTTTCTACACAGGCTGAAATTCCAGGTTACTATAGCATAAGGATTTGTGGGAAAATCCTCAACATAGAAACCTATGTGAAATGACAAAATTTCAATATTAGCAACTTGTCTGTAGATGTGTGGAGTTTTTGTCTTTGCTCAGCATGTTTAATTAATAAATATTTATTTAAATCATTAATTTATTTAAATTAAATACTGCTGAACTTTGTGGTGATAACAAACAGGAATTGTCCAAACAGGAATTCACACTTGTGTTGTAAATGTATGAATTTGCATGTAGTTACTGTTGCTAATACAAACTGTGTCCTGTGACAAAGCTTCTATGAAAGCATAAAAGAAGTCCCCCTGAATAAGAAGGTGATGCAGTGTAACTGACTAACATTGTAAGAACTTGCTAGGTCACTGCTCCAGATTCCTTAAATCAGCAAGCCTTTAATATACTTTTAATGCTTGATGTACCCCGTGGGATTAGGGGAATTACATGGCGAAGTGAATACCATACAGGATACTTAAAATTATTGAGAGCTTTGGGTTACCAAAGTGCTTATTCCTCTAGACCCCTGAGAGTGGAGGAGGGAGATCCCCAGGTAGAAAAGTTTTTATTTTCATGAACAGTGGGGGGATTCTTCAGCTTGAGAAAAGCTCCTTGCAAACAGTCTTGTTTGGTGTGGTGCTTCACCACCTCCTATTGCAAAATTGCTGTTTATCTGTCTCCTCTCCCAAACTCAGCTACTAAAAAGTCCTTGCTGAACTCAGTATTGTCTTACCTTGTTTCATGGGAAATTCTGGCTCTCTGAGTGGTGTTACGTGCCCTTACCTAATAAGATTCTTGTCTAAACAGTTCAAATACCAGCAGAACAAAACCTGCATTGTAAAAAATAGACCTGTTGACAGTGTTATTTGTTAATTCACATCAATGCATGTGTAGTTACCTAATTTGCTACTCAGTTTGGCATTTCAGATGACTACATGGCATTTGGCTTTGACCTCCTGAGTAAATTCAGTGCAGGCATACGTAACGCTAGCTATTTGCTTCTGGCCAGAGACAGTCAAACGTGTTGTAAAGTAGCATTTAATGATTGCCTAGTATTTCATGGACTGGAGGATTTAGGAGTTATCAATGAATACTACTTTTGTTTTTTAGAGTTACAGCAGTAAAAGGGTAGGTTGGAGGTTGCCTTGTACTACTGGAAAAAGGCTGATCTTGTCTTGGAGCCTGAACCATGTACTTTCCATATTTCTGTATGACTTCTGGCAGATGATTTCCATATTGGCATATTAGCCTCTTCATTTCCAGAATTTCAGAAAACTGGTCTGCTTCATGGGAATATGAAGCAAAACTTAATCTGGAGTTTTTATGGAAGGTACTCAGCTAACTGTCTGTAATTTAAAAACTCAAGTTACTAGAAACTGTAGGATGGTAGAAAATGGAATAACTGTCTTATATTTTATCTGGAAGCATATAACAGAATTAACATGTTTGGGTTTTAGTTCATTCTGTAAAAGTATGGGGGTGAGAGGCTCTGGGGTTGTGGTCAAACTGCAAAAATAATTGAATGGGGGGAAGGACATCACGTTCGCTTAGTTGGTTTGCAAAATAGTCAGCCTGTTAATGACCATCACGCTGGCAGAAAGAATCTTTAGAATGTAATTGCTTTTTTATTGCAGGAAGATCCTAATTTCAACTTTCTTTTCTACGTGTGTTTCATAAGTTGCTTCCCCTAGGAAAAATTAAATTGCTTTCTGTTGGTCACTCGAAGTAGAACATCAGCTTGGTCAGGACCTTTTGTCCTGTTTTTCTTTCTGTACCTCACGGAATTGCATTTATTAGACTGAGATTTACTGCTTTTTGTATTCACAGGACTGTGCTAAAGAATAATGACTTGAGATCAAGACAAGAATTAACTACTCACCTCACCAATCAGTGGCCTTCCCCAGGAGCTCTGGATGTCAATGCTGTTGCCTTGGACACTCTACTCTATAGAAAGCACAATCAACAATGGGATGAGTAAGTTGAATATTTATTTTGATTTGCCTTTAGAGGAATAGGGAAAACTCAAAATTACACATTTCCCTTAGCATACTCTGAAACGTATCCTGTTGGAACCACCTGTTACAATATATAAGGATCAGCTGGCAGGAAAAGAAAAAAAAAACAGCAGTTTCTGTTCCTTGTCATAAAAATTTCCTTCCTTTAAATAAATTTGGAGGAAAAAAAAAAAAAAACAACAAACCCACAAATAAACAAAAAGAAAATAATTGCTTTAGAGAGAAAACAAACAGTGTCTTTAAGAGAGGAGAGATGAGCTGCCTACTTTGTTTTGTTTTGTGTTTTTAAAACCAACAACTTTTAAAGGAGAAATGAGGATATCTGGTTAGATTCTTAAATGTGTTACTATTAAATATTACTTTATTTGCAGGAAAAGCTTTCAAAGTCTGGACCAGCTTTCAGCAGAAGTTAGTCTTTCTCAGTCCTCTCTGGACCCAGGTCACTCACAGGATGGGAAGCAGGATGGAATGAACTTGTTAAATGAAGGTACAAAGCCAGTTTAGTGGCTTCCTTTAGTTATGTTCTTCATAACTCTTCAGTCCCTGTGAGATGATTTGCAGTGTGAACGAACTATGCTTTGAACAGCATGGGGTTTTATTGTTATGGAAGTTTTTTTCAGGTTCCCTAAGGACTACACTTCAAGTAAGTTTGGATTTATGAGGATGCTTCCCCTCAGTAACTGTAAGACTTCATGCTGTATTTAAAGCTAAACTTAAAATACATTGCATATCTTCCCTCTCCATCACAGAAGCAGAGACAGCTCAGCTACAAGGAGGATCTTCTGCTGTCTTTCTGTTCTAACACAAATCTTTTGAGTTCCTTAAGTTTCCTTTTTTGTTTCTTAAAATAAAGATTAAAGGCACTGGATTTATAACTGCCACTGACATTCTTACGTCTTGCATTCAACGTTTATCTGTGGAGATGCAGCTTGACAGTGTTTCTGGTAAAATGGAGAGAGGTCCATGCTAGTATATAAATGTAACACACACACACCCCCCTTTCAAAATCTGCACCCATATCAAAGTTTAGCTGCTCCATCTTGTGGATAAATGTGAAAAGCAGAAAAATGCTGGAAGACTTCAGAAACAGTAGTATTTTGGGTACAGAACACAAATTGTTGTAAAAAACCCTTTCTGTTATCTCATCAAATGTTAACTTTAAATAGACTTGACAATATAGGGCCTTAGGAGTTCATAACTGTAACTTTAAAATATCAGCATTTAAAATTTAGCACTTTTTTTTTTTTAAAAAAACTAAGCAGTCTTAAAATCTAAATTATTTCAAGTGAGCTCAGAGAAAGTGAAACACAATCAGCATGGCTGTTATGATGAGAGCTCTTGTGCAGATCTACTTTCAACTGATTTTTCGCAATATTAACCATTTGAAATCATGCTTTAAGTCCTCTAAATGTGGCAAAACCACTGATAATAATAGTTTAGGGTCTTCAAAGGTAGAATAACATCTCAATTCTAAATTAGTGAGGTTCAGTACCTAAGCATAATATACTTTTGTAAGATACAACATGTGATCCTGCTGTTAAAATACCTTTGGTCTAACTCTCAGTACTACTAGTCAGATTTTTAGCTTCACATTTTTTGAAATTGAGGTCTGTGCCCAGTAGTGCTACACTGCTCTTCATCTGGTTTATGCAGGTTGGCTGGTTTGGGGTTTTCCTTACATCCTTCTAATAAGTAAAACTTTCCTGTCAAGAACACAAATTTTAAGAAATGCTACTTCATAGATGTGATTTAAAAAAATTCTGTTAGACTGGCTCATCAATAGAATCTACCTGTGACCCTTAAATCATTTTTCTCTCTAGTTTTAAGGTGATATATTCTATTCTGTAGGTGAGCCAGGAGGATGAAATAGGGTGATGCTAGTAGATCAAATTCTTTATAAGGTGATTTATTAGCAGAGTTGGCACAAAATAACTGAAATGGATATTCTGGGAAGACATAAAATAGAGAAATTGTCCAGTGCAGACTTACACCTAATAGGTATGTTTAATGTTAACTCTCAAGTGTATTTGGATGACAGGGCAGATACTTGCACTGCCACTCCTGCACTGTAGGGCTTTTTCTCAGTGGTCAGAGCCTAATGCACTTCACCAAGGTTTAGAAAACAAGACATGTTTATTTTTAAAGAAATATATCCTGATTCCAGTTACTCCTTTATGAGAAATTTAAAACTAGGTCTTTCATGCTGACATGTTAGGAAGGTCATTTCAGTTTCTATATAATGCATTTGGTGCTTGAATTGGACCCTTCTGTTCCTCATGTCATCTCTGGAGCCTGTGAATGTCCTTCTGTAGGAGCCTGACCTCAGCCCAGCCTGTGGTGCACAGGTGGGGATCTCTGCCACCTGAGCAGGGAAGGTGTGGCACAAAGTACATGTCTTTCTCATGGCATTTATGAAGTATGTGTGTGCTGAAGCAGTAGTGCACAATTCATAATAATGTAGGTGGACCATTTTTTTCTACTCCCACATCTTTTTTGTGGTCAGATCATCTTGTCCTATGCAAATCATTAGCTTAATTCTTGTTTTTCTTCACAGGGAAGGAAGACACTCCATCGTTGCTTGGTCTTTGTGGCTCTCTTACATCAGTAGCAAGCTACAAATCTCTCACAAGTCTGAAATCAAGTGAATATCTTGCAAGTCCCACAACAGAGATGACAAGTCCAGGCTTAACTCCATCATGAGATACACACAAGAAGGAAGAGCTTTCTGTTGTATGCATTTGGTTTATGTTCTGTAAAATGACTTGCAATGAAGACTGCTGGTTCTGAGTTAACATATAAGTTGCTTTATTATTTCTCTCCATGATTATCTATCTGTTTAATTCACAAATTCTGTCAGTTTTCATTCCCTTCCCCCCCCCCTTCCCCCAGAGGACTTCTCAGATTTTCTACTTACTCGGAGTTACTTAACGCTCTCGGTCAAGTACAGGACATATAATCTGATGCTTATGACTCTTTTTTTAAATAAAACAGTTGGACATCAGTCCCCTACTTAACTGCCAAGACCTTTGTTTCTCCTTGCAATGGCCTGGCCCTGCTCTAGCCACGGTGCTTCTCTGCAGTGCTTTAAATATCTATCAACTCTTGCAGAACAGACAGGGGATCCTAAACACCAGACTTTGTAGGCAGATATTTTACCTAAAAACCCAGCTTTCCATCTCTGCGTAGGTCCTCAAATAGCTTATTTAACCTATCAACAGCTCTTCTCGAATTCACTCAGTGTTAGACTTTATTTCTGTAGCATCATGGCACTAAGATGTCCGAATTGCACTGAGGAATCACACTGAAACACTCTTACTAATTCTTGAAGTTGCATGTGAATAACAAATGTATTGATCATATATGATAAATGAGGCATACTTCGCAATTCACAAATGTTGAGAAAACTCACTAAATGCTTTTGAGTGACCCGAGTTAGATAATCAAGCATCATACGAGAAATTTCTTGGTTACCTTGCTGTAAAGATGGGGACTACAGTGGCACAGTTAGCACCTTGGGAAGCTTGGATTGTGTGTTTATTGGCAAGGTCCCAAGGAGAGTAGAAAATGGGGAGCAAAGAGAATATAATGACAGTATTCTCATGTTAAAAGATTTTTCTCATTCCTGTAGTAGTGCAATAGGTATTTTTCTTGATTGGGTAATGCGGCAGAGCTTCCTTAAGTCAGTTTTCTCAGATTCCTTGCCATTGGTTTCAATTACTGATGGGGTGGGGGGAGCAAAGAGGGAGACATTTTTTAAATGAACCAAACTTCCCAGATTTCCCTACAGCTTAGAAGTTTGCAAATTAATTTTTTACTTGCAAACTGTATTCTTAATTCTTTGTAAGATACAGTGGAGCCTTTCGCTATGGATTTTGCTAATCAAGTAATGCTTGTCAGTATGGTAACTTTTTAAACAGAACTTCAATGCATGTAAGTACGTTGTATTTATAAGTGCTAGGGAAAATGCTTTTTTTGTGCCAAAGAAGTTTCATAAATTGTTTACATGAGTAGCTGCAATACAGGACAGATTTTTAATTATTGCATACTCTTAGGTGTTTACACTCTGTCTCTACACTCTGTTTGGTTTTAGTTCATTTGCCTCTTGTAATGGTACCTTGGCACTACTACTGTAATCTGGTCATCTTGGCGTTGGCTTGAAAGAGGATTCATTTTTACCTTTACTGAAACTACAGGACATGTTCAGCCTGTATAGGTGTGAGGCTCTGCACCTCTGGGACTCGGGCGCCGTTTGATTTAGCTGGAGAAGGATCAAGAGCCATCTCAATTCTAGTCCACAGTGCTGGAGGTTGCAGCGGCTGTGGTGGGATAAACCATGACTGGTGCCATTTCAGTGCAGCTTTTTAAAGCAGCTTGGCAAAGCCCACCAAACCTTGTCCTTCAAGCCCTCACGTACCCACCCGGTTGATTTCTCTGTACTTAACTGACCATTTAATCCTTTCATACGCTGTCAGAATGTCCATTACCTCACATAAATTTGGGGTTTTGTTATGACATTAAGCACCTGTTCTTTCATGGCAGTTGAGTCGTGGTATTAAATGCCAGTCTGTAAACTAGAGATGCATTTTTACTACAAACACAGTGAGGGACTCCGGATTCCACAAGTTAATGTTCTGCATCAAGGTACAGTGATTTGATCGGTCTTGTTCACTGTTCAACACTCCCCACCGTGTCAGCATTTTGGAGGGGACTACGATCATGATCTTCAGTCATGTTTGCTGATGGCTCTTTTCTTGGAGCTACTGGTGTGAAATTCATGTGTCATTTATTGGGAGTCTTCTGTGTAGTTCCTGGGTGTCATTTGTGCATGGGAAATAATCTTGTGTGTCTTTCTCAGTTTGAACATGAATCATTTTTAAAAAAAGACTGAAAAACAAATGCCAAACTGTATGTTTTGTTGCCTTGACTTTCCATGAATGTTGCATGTAAATTAAACATTTTTGTATCATTGCTGGTTACTAGTTTTTGTTCATCTTACTTTATGTGATTAAAACATTCGACAAACAACAGTATGACTAACATTATAGCAAATTCTGTCTTGCACGACAGGGAGACTTTGGGTTTGCTGCTGTATGTCATTCACTGTGATCCAAAACCTGCTGTTAGTGCTGGCTCTCTCTTGGGCCTTATTTTGAGCTTTGAGTATAAACTAAGTTTGAGAAATCACAAGAGGGGAACAGTGTCAGGTACCTCCCATGGCAGGACCTCTTGCCTGCACCGTGTGCCAGAGCCTGTCCCTAACCTCTTCATAACTGCAGCGTTTTTCAGCATGTGATGAACTTTCACCAGTGCCAAACACATGCTGGGATACCTTCTTCATAGGGGGATAGGACTGAAGCCTATTTCTTGGGTAAAGCACACCCCAAAGTTGGTGTTTTAGTGACCTGACCACCAAGTTGCTATTGTACCAGCACCCCTTATGAAAATATGCAAAAGAAAAAACTCAGCGACTTCACTGGAAGATATGAAAAAAGCAATGCAGTGAGGGTGGTTGAAGAAGAGGGGAAAGAAAGAGAGTAGTTAAAAAATAATAATAATTAAAAACAGTCCTGCAGAGAAAGCTCTGATGCAGTAGGTCAAGTGCTGTGGGCAGCTGTTCCGGCTATGCAGGTGTACCATGCTGTTGCAGACAACAGCCACAGTAGCAACCACGTGCTCTTTCCTGCAGGCAGATGTATGGCTGAGTTACACTGGCATGAACCATCCTTGCCCACCCCAGGAACGATGGCCTTCAAAACATGGTGCTCCCTCCCAAGCTGGGGGTGAGAGATGCTTTCTGGTATGGGGGCTGGCCCTGCTGTGGAGCTCTGTGACCCCCCAAAGCCATGCACAGGCATGTTCTTCCAGACAGGCACTTGTCTCCAGTGCCCATGTGAGCTTTCAGTTCTTAAGAGTAATGCCTTAAGCTAAAAAGCCACTGTGGCACGCACTTGCCAATGTATTCACCATCCTCTTGGGGTTTCTAAGGAGCAGTGTGCTGCTTTCAGTTTGACCTAAAGCATCTTTCATTTTAAATATACCTGAGAGGAAGCTGAGGGCTATTTTGTAATACACATTTACACAAAATACAGAGCTGCAGCTAACAACCATGCACAGAATCAAACATCCATTAAGCAAAATAAATAAACATTTATTGAATTCATTCTGTATCAACCTCCTTATGGAAGAATAATCATATCATACAATTTTCTAAACCTCATTTTACATACCCAACAAAAGTTTTTAGTTGGACTGAATATTAACACAGTGGCAGTGATTATTCCTCATTATTCTGTCCAGTCTCCTTTTTTTTCCTTTTAACCATCACAGAAGAACAGTCAGCATCTGTTTTATTTTCTCATTTCTATTTCCATCTAGTGGCAAGAGAAGTCACAAAGTCTTCACTGATAGACTGTCATGATTATGTTCTTAGTCTTAAGAAAAAAGTGAATTTATCCTTTGTGTTAAAAATGAAGTTGTATTTGTTACCAAATATAATGACAGACGTTCACTGGGAGTTCTAGAAAATACCTTCACAGATTCAAATTTGGCACAACTTCCACCCTGTATTTTGACTTCATACAATCAGATGAAGTAGAATAAGGATGTTGGCTCATCTTTCCATTTAAATGAGAAAAAAAAAGACTTTCCATATTCGTATGTGCTGATCATTAGGGCACATGCAGGAGCAACTTTAAACAGCCGTGCAATAATACCTGCCCAGAAAAGAAAAGGAAAGCATTCACTGTCATTTGTTTTCAGACTGAAGAGCTGTAGTACCATTTAGTGGTCACAATATACCAATACCATAATATGTCAGGGTGGAACTGGGATGCTACCTGTTTGTAGTCCTCAAAATACGGTAGGTATTGCCATGGTAGTAACCTTACAGGATCAGAATCACCTAGATTGGAAAAGACCTTCAAGATCATCAAGTACAACCATTACACCAGGACTACCAAGTCCACCGCTGAACTATATCACTGAGGGCCTCACTACAGGGTTTTTGAACACTTCCAGGGACAGTGATTCTACCACTGCCCTGGACAGCCTGTTCCAATGCCTGATCACACCCTTGGTGAAGATTTTTTTCCTAATATCTAATGTAAACCTTCCCTGGCGCAGCTTGAGGCCATTACCTCTTGTCCTATTGCTTGTTACTTGGGAGAAGAGACCAGCCGCCTTCCCTCTCCATCCTCCTTTCAGGTAGTTGTAGAGTCGTAAGGTCCCCTCTCAGCCTTCTCCAGGTTAAACAACCTCAGTTCCCTCAGCCCTTCCTCATCAATCAATCTCACTTGTGCTCCAGGCCCTTCACCAGCTTCAAGTCCATTGTACCTCTGCCCCCTCTGTCTCTCCAGGGAGGCAGAGCCCCTTGACCTGCTGCAGCGCAGCTCAGATGGCTCGAGGGGGGCAGACTGTGTGCCCCATCCTCTGCCTGTCACTGCAAACCTGCTGCTCCTGTGGGATAAACAGAGGCTTGTGACCACTCAGATGGGACAAGAGGTTCAGGAAGTCGTGAACCCTGAACTGGATAAAGCCAGGGGAGAAAAGGCTAGAATACTGTGCTGGGCTGTACCCTCTGCTGTAGTCAGTGGCTCAGCCCTTCAAGCCAACTGCTGAGCAAAAGTGTGATTCCTCTACTACTATCTCTTAAGACCTACAGCACCTCTACTAACATGGAAGAATCCTGGTCACAGGGTTAAACAATAGAATGTGGGCATCAAGTGTTTCCTGCTGCACTTAACTGTGATCCTGTCAGTGGAGTTTAAAAAGTTTACCTAAAGGTGGGAAAATAAGGCTGAATCCACTTGTCTACACACAGCTGTCTACTCTCACTTGGAACACAAAGGCATCTGCAAGTAGCTAGCCTGGATGATGCATGGCCTACGGAAAACTTGTGTCCCTTTGGAAAAGTAGCAAGAAGCCAGGCAAAATACCCCCAGTCACCTCACCTATGTGTAGGCAACAGAACTGGGATAGTGCTGATCGAGAGAACATCTCTACACTCATGTGTCAATACCCAGATGTAACAATCTGTGAACTAAATTCCATCCAAAATGTCTAGTAATGCCAATACTGAGTGGTGCCTTGCACTCTGCTGGCATCAGTGCTCCAAAATATGCAAACACTATTACCCAGCTATGTCATCACTGTACAGCAATTTCATCTCTTTCAAAGAACGCAAGTCTTGCAAGTCTTCATTCAACTGTGTAGCCATTCACACACATACCCCCAAGGAACCGATGCAGTGCTGTCAAGACACTAAGTATCCTGGGCTTGGAATGTCTCTTGCAGTTGTTTGTTTAATTATGAACTACTACAGGCTTTTATCTCACTATAATTTTAATCTCAGTATCTTGTAATTTCCCCCTCAGACTGCTGGAGTCACTCATGACAACACGTGTGCATTACAAAGGAGCTTTGTGCTGACAACACAGTATTGCCCCAGCCATTCAACAGAACAGGATAACTGCCTCGCCTATCTGCCAGATTTGCTGAAGACAGAAAGACTGGGAACCCTACAGCCCAAGAGAAGGGTATGGGAGGGCAGCTGAGTGACAAATACCAGCTAAGTAAGGAATCTTAGGGAGATGAGCATCCTGAGGTGGGCACACAGGCTGCCAAGAGCAGTTTGTGACTATGAGCATTTTATATACAGTCAAGGTTGAAGTTTTAATCGCCAGTTGCCATACACAGAAAGATATCTGAAAACAAAACACTTTAAGACCAGTCTAGTTAAAAAGTGATATGGGGTCTTAGCCTGTTGATACTTGGGCTAGTAAATTATTGGTAGAACTACCTGAATGTATGTATTCAATAAAGGCAGTTTCACCACAGGTAAAGATCTGGTTTTGTTTGATGAATGATAGTAGTTTTTCACAAGAAGATATGAACCAGTAATTAGAATTCCTGGGGATGCCTAATCAGCTTGAACCTTCACACTGTGAACATTCACTTGCACTGTCACATGAGGCTGGAAACTTATTCTCTCAGTTCTGTCACATGCAGCAGCAACCCCAGACTGCCTCTGTCTGTACCCCGGTACACAGGGTGGGGAGAGCAGCATATACCTGAACTATAAAAATACCTTTGGTTTTAGTAACCAATTGGCAACTAGGAACACAAGTCTCCTTCTGTGGCTATGAGGACACAATGGATGAGAATACAAGAAGTCTACTTTCTGGGAAACCAAATCATCTCTTCCTGTTTTGCTTGTCAGAGCATGCCAAGTAGAAACCTGTGACAGAAGTCTAGCAGGATCCATCATAGCTGCTGCCAAATATCTACAAATCTGTGAAAAAAAGTCCATGTTGTTCTCCAAGAGAATATTCTGGGATGTGGCTTAATGCACCGTCAATGACTGAAATGACTGGTGATTACCTCATAAGGGAGTCAAACTTCTTTTGTAAATACAGAAGTGGAAGATTCCCTGAAAGTTGTTAAGATTTAAAAGAAATCCTCAGTTTCAGGATGTAACAGTGAGGGGCTTACATCTTTCTTACATCTTACATCTTTCTTACCTCTCATATCACACTTGCTTGCTCACAGAGTGCCTGTTCTGCCCAGGGCAGCTTCATTATGAAGTGGAAAAAAACCTCCTAAGCCTCCCGAGGTCTCAGGAACTTCTGTGATCACTCCTCACTGCCAAGAGTCATGATACAATTGAGCCATAATGATGAAAATAAGGAGGAACAGAACTTCCTGTTGGACCTCTCAGGAAAATAGGAAAACCTTATTGCTGGAAGTTTTGAGTTAGTACCAGGAATTCGGTCATATGATGAGGTAGGGCCCAGAGACTTGCTTTCAGAGAGATGCTAGGATTTGAAAAAGACATCAGAAGGTATTCCTGAAGGGTTCTTTTCTGTTCTATGAGGGGTTAAATGGCCAAGATATCTTATGATGGTCAGGGATACATCTGTGCTGGTCAACAGTAGAAAAAACTACTGCATATAGTCCAGGGCTAAAAGGTGGTGGCTGCCAAAACTATCAGAAACTCTAAAAGACAAGTCTTCACATCAATCTGTGCAAGAAGAAGGATTAAATACATCAAGGAGTTGCACTGCATCATAGATGGATGGAATCTATCCTAGGCCAAGTATTCCACACAGGCCAGTAACAGTATTTTATTATGTGAATTCTACTCTATTCTATTCTCAGACTTCTTGGGTTCTCAATACTGCATCTTCTTCAAAGACAATCAGAAAAATACCACTGAAGCTTAAACTCTGTTTCTGAGACAGAAAGAACCAAAAAAAGTTGAGTACACAAATTAGTATGAGATGAAGAACAAAAATTAGGCTAGCTATTCCTAAATACAGGTGGGCAAATGCAATGGTAATGACTGGTTTGACATTTTTAGCACTGGACTAAAAACCACATTTAAGAAATTTTCTGTCTAGAAACACCTCCTTACTTCAGTTTCCATTACATTTCCTTTGTACCAATTCTTTCTGAAACACCCAAGAATTGCAGTTTAAGAAATCAAAAAGTTGCTTAAACTTGACAAAACCTATTTCCTGAACTGAACATTTTCCCACCATTTTTCATTGCCAATACAGCTCTATTTGTTAATCCCAGCCCCTTTGTTTTTTACCTAGATCATGTCCATCTTGGACAGCTGCAGCTTAGTAACTTATGAAGAGATTGTCAGAATTCTCTCAGGATATATACATGTCTGTTGCTTTACATATGCAAACTATTTCATAACTCACAGTGTTTCCAGAGCTCAAAATGTTGTATAATTTATGCATGTTAACAGCTATAGCAACTTGTTAATGACTTAAAAGATCTCTCTACTCTGAGTTGGTTTACAGATACAAAAAGATTTACCAGCAAATAATCCAGTAATCCCATTTTTAGCGAAAATTTTCCTCATAACTGCCCAGGTCGATGTACTATCCCTCTGTGGAACTCAATGCAGTACAAGAAAACAGTGAATTAAGTAATATATACAATGCCGTAAAAGAGTACTTTTAGAAATCAGAGACAGTCGTAGATGGAATTATTAGGTTTAATTAATTTTAATTTTATCCATACTATTTATACAGGATGTGCAAATTCATAAAATGCTTAAAATATCATGACATGGAAAACCCTGTAGTAACACCTGGGGTAAGATACAAGAACAGAGACAATATTCCTTACTAAAGTACTGATATAGCTGAAAAAAGTCACCTAGCTTTCAAATGAGCCAGTCGCTCTCATTGTCACGCTATACATGTAGCTAAATGCTCATCACAGTTCAGATATTTAAACAAGAACTTGCCTTTATGGTAAACTGAGTCTAAAGGGAAGTTCACCTGAATGTATTATAAGAAATTAATTTTTTGCTTATTTAAATATAACTTATTTCAACCATAGAATCATTTTGCTTGGAAGGGATCTTTAAATGTCATCTAGTCCAACCTGCCTGCAAAGCAGGGAGATCTTTAATTTGCAATTGGTCTGCCTAAATGTAACAGCTTTGAATTTTTTGTTTATATTTTATACCATCTCACTAACCTAAATAGTACTGAGCTCACACCTTCTCCCTCCTCCAAGCCATTAGTGAAATACTGTATTTACTAGAAGGTAAAAATATCCTATGAAATTTGGAGTAGAAAAGATGTCAACGCTAGAATTTTTAGATAAAACTTTAGAGGAAAAAACAGATATTTAAAATTCCTACCAAAAGTCTATATGCCAAAACACTACATTTTCTTTTTCCAGACATAATGATTTTTTTATCCTTACCAGCACTTTTTAAGGTCTCTCACTCCCAAAGTTCAGTCTGCCTATGTGTTTTCACTACATCAAATGGCAG